ACGTGCCCGGGGCAGGGCCAGCCCCGAGCACTTGGCGGGCACACACAAATGCCATGGCGCCCGTGGGCACCGTGTTGGGGACCACTGGTCTAGACTACAGTCAGTACTGTTGAAAAAGAAGCCACTTTTTCGAAACAGAATCTAGATGCTCTCATTTGAAAAAGCACAGTTTCCATGCAATAGCGCCTTTTTTCAAAAGAGTACTTTCAAAAAAGGCGTTATTCCTCGTAAAATGTGGTTTACCGCTGTTGACAAAACTGCTGCGTTCTGTCGACTTTGTTTTATGAGCAATAACACCTTTTTTCGAAAGTGTTCTTTCGAAAAAAGGAGTTATTGAATGCAAACAGTGCTTTGTCAAAAGGGAGCATCCAGACTGCCTGGCTGCTCTCTTTTGAAAAAGCTGCTCTCTTTTCAAAAATACTGGTTGCTGTCTAGACTATCTCTTTTGAAAAAAGCTTTTTCAAAAGATTCTTCCGAAAAAGCCTCTTTTGAAAGAGGCTTGTAGTCCAGCCTTAGCCTAAATGTTTAAATCTCTTAGTGTATGTCTACACTAGCCCCCTAGTTTGAACTAGGGAGGCTAATGAGGGCGACTGAAATTGCAAATGAAGTGCGGGATTTAAATATCCCGCGCTTTATTAGCATGTTCCTGGGTGGTCGCCATTTTGGAAATTGACTAGCCCGGAAGAACTGCCCATGTCTACACACAGCAGAGAAGGGCGATTCCGAAATAAACCCCTTACTTCGAATTACCAGTTCCATGAGGTTTAACTTCTGGGATAGTCAATTTCCAAAATGGCAACCACCCGGGAACATGCTAATGAAGCATGGGATATTTAAATCCCATGTTTCATTTGTAATTTCGGTCGCCCTCATTAGCCTCCCTAGTTCGAACTAGGGGGCTAGTGTAGACATTCCCTCACATGCAAGTTCATCTTATTCCACTGATTGACATGAGAACTATGGAAAGGAAAGGAAGAAGGAAAGAAAGAGGAGGAAGATGGAAAGTATGATAATGGAATATGCAACTATAGGTGGAAGTGACAGAGGGCAGATCCTCACATGAGCTTCACATACCAAGAAGTCATAAAATGAGCCTTGTGTGGGCCTCTCTGGAGAAAGGACGTCCGGAAGCTTCTCCCAAGATTTACACAATAGAACCCCTCTAATATTTCAACATTAGGACACCAATTCAGCAAAGCACATAAAGATGCCAAACTTTTAAGCTTGTGTATCTAAGCATCTCTATTATAGTTATTTGGAGTTATGCAGGTGTTTATGTGCTTTCTGAATCAAGGCCTGGGAACAGGGATGTATATCCTATTATATCTTCTTACACAAGGCAGAACATCTAGGCTATAATTTTCTTATCTGGATGCAATATTTAAATCTAAGTCTAAATCTGGGACCTAAATAAGTACTCTCATTTTCGCAGGTGCTGAGCCCCTCAATTGCCCATTGACTTCAATTATCCTTCAAGTCACCTTTTGGCCACCCCTGGATAACTCCCGCTTTCTCTTTTTGATGCTCTATATTGTGTATAATATGGAGTACTTGGTCCTCTGGCCTGAGTTTGAAAAATCAATTCTTTTGGTATTTAGGTAACTAATTCATGGATATTTAATCTATTATTACAAAATGCAACCCACAAAGACAATAGATTAATTGTTCTGACTCTTCACATTACTGCCATCCCACACAAGCTAAAGTAAACAACTCCTCCACATATTTCTTCATTAGCATCAGAAAGCTTCTTTAGTGAATACACTTTTTCTTACAAGTGTTTAAATCAGAGGCAGTTCTTCTCCACTGCTTATTCTGTTTCATCAATTCAGCTCTGTTACTGTCCCAAAGTGTCCCCATAAGTATTTGCTCAAACTCAACTGGTTTGACCTCTGGAGAACTTTAGGAGCAGAGGCACAGATCCATTATGACCCCAGCTTCCTGATGCTACCCAGAGTAACTTCTGATTTTTTCTCATTTTCACCGTCTAAGTCTATCACTTCTGATGTCATAATCTTACCCCATTGTTCTCCTCACTCTCCCTTACCTCCACCCACCTTGTCCTCTCCTCTCCTCTGCTTTGCTACCTTCTGTATTCTCTTCCTTGCTGACCTGGCTCCTTTGACCCAGAACTCATTCCTCCCCCTTGTCACTGTTGCCCAGCATGCTAACCCCCAATAATGAACAAAAACTCATAAAGCAACCACTAGCATTTACCAACCTACTGATATGGGGAACATCATCACAGTTGCATCGCTATAGCCCTTTCAGACCATCATTATTATTAAGATAATTAGTCACAAACACCATAATAAATGCACAAACATAAGTTACTCTATGTGTCCTTGTCACCATTTTTCCTTAACCTTTCCCCTCAACCCATCTGTCTCCTGAATGCTCGGATGGAAAGGTCTTTAGGAGAGAGACCAGGGTTTCTATTTATTTATACGGCATACACATTTTGGAGTACACAGTAAATTAATAACGACAAAAGTCAATTGTCTCTGGGGAATGCACAGCTTCTGATACTGATACCAAAATAGCAGAAAGCTCTGAGATTGGGGCTCAAGGACAGAGAAGGAAATGAGCTTCAGGAGATGAATAGAAACTCATTTTTAGCATTATTAGACCTTATTTCATAGTGGAGAAAATGTAGCTCCAACAACAACTAAACCCAATTAAAATATAAACACACATCATTTTGGACAAAGGAAAGATTTTATAGAATTTTTAAAATTTCATCTGTTTGCATGTGCGGTGTGTGTGTGCATATTTATCTCTAGATCAATAACAATAGGAAACAAAGGAACATCCTTTAACAATATCAAAATCAAAACAGGTTAATTTTAAATTTGAGAACGGGTTTGTAGGGGAGCATATTACTTCTGTATTATGAAAGAATATTGCCAAGTTTCATATCCCAGTTCTGGAACAAGTTCTCTGCTGGTGTAAATTGATGCAGCTCCATTGACTTTACAGGAATAGTCACAGATTTAAAGTTAATCATGCTCTGAAGCAATTTCTAGATCAAGGCCATCATGCTGAGCTCCTTGCAGCATCACAAAGGAAGTGGTTGCCACTGAGTTTCTAGAGAAGACCTTGTTGAATCACCATAACAGAGGCCATTACTGAGTGGCAATATACTGATTCTCCTTTGCCTTGTACCTTGCATAGCCATACATATCTATGCAACGTGAAGGAAAATGGGGGTATAAAAAGTAACAACAAGAAGGGCAGAATTTTATTCCCACTCTGCACAAGGGTAAATGGGTATATAAGATGCAAGGCTACAGAGAACCAGGCCCCTTATATTTTTAAAGAAAAAAGTTAGTAGCCAACAAGCTCCCAAAAAACTCAAGGGATACTGTGAATCTACCTTGCCATTTAAATGGCTAAACATAGATTTCAGAGAGCTCGATGTGTGACACAACTCTGAGAAATCACAATGTGCAGAGCACAGTTGTACATGTCATTTGAAAGCAAATAGGAATCAAGCAAACTGTTAGGCTAAGAAGCACAACACCAGACAAAGAAAGAGAGAGAAGGGAACTTTCAACTCACATCCAATGTCTCAAGCAGCAACATAGTCCTAATATCTTCACAAAGCCTTTCCAAAATCCAGTCACTTACCCATTGTAGGCATTATTCCTAATAGATCTACAGAATTAATTAGCAAAGTAGAAGGAGCAGATTCTTCACTGTTATCCTTCATAATCTTGGAATTCCCCTAATGTTTTGCAGAATGCTAAGAGCAATCTGATTGGAAGACATGCTAACATGGTCTGTGCCTTGATTAACCAGAAGCATCAAGAGGCAAATAAACTTCCCCACCCCAAGCATGTAAGGCTTCCAATGGACCATATGTGCAGTACTACAACATCACCTATTCCTTTTTGACCATCTCAGTTTGTGTATATTGACAACTGTATTAGTATATAAGTTCCCCTTTTAAGCAAAGATTGGTCATATGTGGGAGTGAGTAAGCAGTGATTAGATGCTGGCTTTCTTATTCAAATATATTTATATTAGATGAAGAATTCTAGTTATAAATTTTCCAGCAGCATGTATAAACTGAACAGCATACACATCCACCTTCTTTTTCAAGTTACTATACGAACCACTGCAAGTCTATTGACTTAAGTGAAGTTTCCCTGAGGGAACTGACATTGTCAGAAGTGGCAATTAGCTGAACTTGGATTATCATGGCTGTGCATCTCTAATTTGATTTGAATAATCATAACCAACCTGTGTGACCAGCACAAGTGTCAAAGGAGAAGACATTGGGAAGTTGCAATCTTTTACTGAAAACTGGAAGCAAAGTTTGATTTTTCTAGAAGGAAAAGTACTCCATGGTACAGACAGGCCTCTGACCTTGAGTCTGCGGTCCTCATCTCCACTGCACAGAGAATTTACAGACACTTTAAATGCTTTCCAGGCTGGATTTAAGTTATTCATCACAACCTGAGAATGAAAAGAAAGAAAGAAAGAAAGGGAAATGATTAACATTGGCATGTTTCAAAATAGAATGCTGAACAATAATTAAGACTTTCAATGAGGTATGCTAATCAGAAAAGGGGGAAACACGCAGAAAGTAAACCTTTAATCCATCAAATTAAGTGCACCATATTGTTGGCAATGTTATTGCAGCAATCCACTGGACAAGGAAATGTCATCTTTTCTATGTGTACCGTTATGCTTGGATGGCAACAAGAGAGATTTAGGCCCTGATCTAAAGCCCAATGAAGTCCACAAGGGTCTTCTGATTGATTTCAGTGGGCTTTGGAGGAAACCCTTTAAAAGTAACAGCCTGCACTAACTAAAACCCCAATGTGTTAAAGCCCTTGAAAATGTTTGAAATTTAAAGAACTTTTACATCACACAACAGAGGTTTCCTGTAAGCTGAGCACTTGGGCAGCCACACAGGAACGATTCAGATGCCACCCAGCTGATTAGCAAAGTGCCCACAACTGGCAGTATGTGTTGCTACTGACAGTGCACATCTGCAAATGCCTGGGTGCACATAACAACATTTCTTCCACATGTGGATGGAAAAAGTTAGAGGGAACACTGCAGACAAATACTGTTCATTGACATGCTGACAACTGCTCAGCAGTTAGTCACACAGAAACATATCCTGCCCCCCACCCTTCCAACAAGCCCTGAAGATAGCAAAGTCTTTGTAGGACCACTGTGAAAAGATGCTGCTAGCTCACTCAGGGACCAAGGCCCCTGCGTGCAGGCCCGGCCAAAGAGTTTGTGGGGTCCAAGGCAGCATGTTGTGGTTGGCTGCACCCTGTGGCCGGGTGCAGCGAATGAGCAGCAGGGCGAGCAGGCACCGAACAGCATGGGGCCCTGAAGGTGTGAGGCCCAAGGCAAGCCGCCTTGCTCACTTTGCCCTAAGGCCAGGCCTGCCTATATGCCATGGGACCATGTTCATGGGTGGCAGGTGAAGGCTCAGCTAGGGAAGGCAAGCTGAAGCCCTGCCCCTTCCACCAGAAGCCACACCCCTACCCCCTGAGACCATGCCCCTTCAACAACCTCCCTCCCCCAGCCACACCCTGCCCAACCCCGGCTGGGGCTGTCACACAGCACGGCGTGGCTCCAGCCCCTCCTGGGCAGCTAGACAGTACAGGAAGTTTTGGGAAGGCAATGCCTTCCCTTGCCTACATTACCTGCTGCTCATGACTGTGTTCAAGTCAAGGTACCAGTGGTGGAAACTACTGTGTCTGCATCAAAGAAAAGGTTAACTTGATCATGATCCGTAAGTGTCTGTACAGGGAGACTATTTCTGATAAATAGACGGTGCTTTAATCTAGCACACAACAGCATTTCAAGAGTCTGGACTCCAGATCTGTTCAAACTAGAATTAAGAAGCATATTTTTTAAACTCTAATAGGAATTACTGGTTAGAACAATTTACCATTGGAATTTGGTGGAGTCTCTTTTATTCTGTTTTAAAATCAAATTTAGCCAGAAGTTATGGGCTTGATGAAGGAATTGCTTGATGAAGTTTATTAGTTGTGTTATGCCAGAGGTCAGACTAGATGATCATAAGGCCCTTTTTGGCTTAAGAACTATGAATTTATGGAGCAATGCCCTGCCACTTCACAACCTTCAACTTATTCATGGAAGTAGCAACTTCAATCTGACAGGTCCAACCCATTGAGTGTGACTGTAAAATCGCTTTGTGAGCTTTAACAAGAAGAATCTGAAACATTTTGCTTCAGTTTTAAAACAAGTATGAAAACTGAGTGAAAGCAACCTGTGCCTCACTGTGCTGTTGTGGGCAGGTAGGTACACATGACACCTGGGAAAGAGGGGAGACTAGCATGGTTACAGTTCACAAGCTACTGAAGAGTAGACGTTGACATGACCACAAGGTAGAAGGCCATTAGGAGAAGATGGGATGAAAGTTTCTGAAAAAGGTGGATTAAAATGGCCTCATTCAAAAGTTTTGTTCTAACAGCATCATTCAGCAACCAAATATGGCAGATTCAGGATCTGTAGAAGACCCTGAATGGCTGCTTTTTCATCACCAAGTGATACTGACTGCCTTCTCCTTTGATAACCACCCTCCCCACCCATGACAGCATAGGATACGAGAGCCTATGTATCAATGTTGGGCCCTTGTGCTGCCCATACCCTCACCCCAACTCCCTAGCAGAATGATTGTTGGATCCATTACATCAAGGAACACCTGTCTGTTGATATAACCTGTGTATAAATGTAGGGCCACAATCTGGGCCTTTATTTGTGGTACCACAGTTCATTGCCATGGAAGCAATAGTGACATCATGACACAGGACTCCAATGAAACAGGCAGGAGAAGCAGCTCAATAACAAATGAGGGAAACATCACTTCATATACTCATTGTGCAATAATCAGCCACAGAGAGAAAGAACAGTCACAAGGGATCCCATGATTGTTTAATGTGACTGTGGAGAAAACATGGTATTGTTTGTAGCCTGTCTCAGTGTCATAGCAGCTCTTTAGAAATAATGACCATTTGTGACACATTGGCCCATCAGGGATTCACAGCTCTTTGTCAGTAACTCCTGTCAGGCCTGACAAACTCACTATATTTCACAGGAAACATCTACACGGCAACACTATTTTGGGATACCAAAGTATCCCCAAATAGCTATCCCACATCTTAACAGCAAGCCCATTATTTTGGGCTCACTATTCTGACATCCCAATAAACCTCATTCTACAAGTAGTAAGGGACATTTCAGAATAGCGCCAAATTACGAAATAAGCTATTTTGAAATAAGATAGAAATAAGCTATGCAATTTGCGTAACTCAAATTGCATATCTTATTTTGAACTACAGTGCAGAGTAGACATAGCCACACAGTGCTGTCATAGTGTGTCAAATGAAAGCTTATATTAGACTGCTCATTATAAGCATTTTCAAATGTATGTAGAGGTGTTATTCAAGCAGCTATATGAATGTACTACAAACATGTTTAAATTAGTTAAGCAGGCAAGGCAGGTAAACACATTTCCCTCCCCTCCCCTGGGGAACATTGATTTGACTGTCTGCCTTGGTTTCTGATATAATCAAGCATTATGTAAGTCAACTTTATTTGCATATTAAGGCAATAGGAAAAAACAAGTGAACAGGAGAATGAGAGAGACAATATGGCATAAGCACATAAAGTAAAAAAAACCCAAAACAACAGGGGAGAAGAAATTTGCCTGGGAGCATACTTCACAGGTATTCTAGACTACCACAAGGAGGAGGAAAAGTAACCCTGTGATAAGCCATCATTGAAGGAGTGGAAAGAACACTTTTTGTATCCATGAATATTGGGTTCTGGTCCAGTGGCCTGGAGATACCAGGTGGTTGCTTCAGGCGAGAAACTTAAGTTAACCAATATTTTTGCCTTCTAAAGTTAGGATTGGTCTCCTAGAAGCATGTTACAATTTTGTTTTATTTGTAATTTATTTTATCCTCAATAATATCTCTTTCTACTACTGTTACTCAGTATCACTTGAGACTGTATCTTTGTTAATCAACCTCTCTATGTTTTATCATACATGTGAATTGTTAGTTGAAACAAATCAGCTAGTATGTACACTGTCTCGTTAGAGGCAACAGACTTGGTAACGACTGTGTGTCCAGAGACAGAAGGATGAACACTCTTCAAAGGCATTTGGGGACTAGGGTGAAGTGTTACCTGCAAGACAAAGTACAGGCTGGCAGAGTCCTAAGAAGTAAACACTGCCAGGAAACCATCATGCCGTTTAGCTCTAGTAAGTCTCTCATTTGCTAAGGCATAGGGGTAACAAAGGGGTAACAGTTCTGGGTGCCCCGAGAAAGTGTTACCCCATTAAACACGATTATACGCTGTGAATTTAATTAAGCCTGCATCTTATGTTCCAAGAACATTCCCTTTTCACTCCCAGCAGCACACATCAGAAGTTGCTATACTGAAGTCAGTAGCTGTGAGACTGGAGGGAAAGAAGTAAGTAGAAACCTCAGTGAGTCAGTGTGGGTTTTTGGGAGTGTTCTTTGAAATGGTAGAGATTAAGCTATTTCTTGACACTGGCCAGCTGTGCCCCAGAACAGTAAAACCAACCCCTTACTCACCTCAGTCCTGTGAACAAGCTGCTGGGTGGCATCATCATTCATCCGAAAAATCTCAAGAAATGGATCAGATTTGCTGAAAAAATCCTAAAATAAAATTCAGAGAACTTTACTCTTGCGAGCCATTCAAGAGTATCCCCAGTGTATCCATCCCTCAGCTTCCCTGATAATGAAAAAGAAATGCTAATTCTGTTTCAGTCAGACCACTTGTTATCCCACAACTATCTTTTATCCTCATTCCGCCAGGACTTACATGATACTTCTGTTGGTCTCAGCTTGGCTATTCAATTATGTTAATGGGCATTGTTTACAGTAACATTGTGGCCCACTTTCTCTTTTACCGATTGCTTCCCCACTTGTACACAACCCGATCCCCGCTGAGTGCAGCCTATCTAGCTGATTTATTTCTGTTCGAAATAGGAATTTGGTCATTTCTCATCAGTTTTATTATATTTGTCAAGCTGGACCAAATTTCAAAGGAGTTACACCATGGATGAATTTAGTCCTATTTGGATAATCCAAACAGAGGTTCAGTGGGTGGGACATAATTCTACTGCCAACAAACATAAGCGCAGGCAAGCTATTTTTGTGACATATTCTTAGCTAAAAGAGTCCTCCTAAGTATTAAAGACATGACTTAGCATTTAAACAATAAACTGAAAAGGGGGGAACTGAAGCTCTCGGATGTCCCTAACTATGGGCAAATCCAAAATATCTAATAATTAAAAATAACCCTTTTTAGACACTTTGTTCCAGAGTCTCAACTGTGCCATTACACATGCCCTGCATGCAGCTGATTGTACAGGAGGGCTGCAAAGTATTCACTGGACCCTCATCCTGAATTCTGTCCCTGATGAGCATCTTTTGGGCTGCTCTAAACTTAAGTGCAGTCTGTAGCCCTAAGGGGCTGCTATTAATGCTGACAACTGTCAGAGCACAACAGCAGTCCAACTATACACCCTTTTTTCTCAACCACAACCTGCAACTGGCCCTCTACACCAAGGAATCCCCAAGTAGATGGTTAAACCAACTTTCTAATCACAGTGCAAAGCAGCTGGATGGAGCACAGATAAGGATCCGGCCTATTGTTTAAAATGAACAAATTCAATGTGTGCCCTGACCCTGCAAAAATGGAGGCATGTGAGTAACTTTATGCACATGAGGAATCTCATTGGAGTAGGCATGAATGTACAGTATATAGTGATAAGGGTCTGCAAGCACAAGGCCACCACAATACAGGCATTTTAAAAAGTTTTATTAAATCTATAATGAATGCAAAACCATTTATGGGTTTTTGATAAAAGTAATTTCAAGGCAAAACATCTCCCCTACCCATAAAATATCCTCTGTAGTACTAAAAATTCAAACTGAACAACAACATTTTGTGGGGAAAGAAAGAGAAAAAGGAAGCTGGAAATAGATTAAAAGAAGTGAACAGATCCAACACTGCTTCATTCTAGTTCAGTACCATGAAAAAAAAACCCCAAACCCTAAAAGAATTGGCCTATGCAGAGTGCCCAAAACGCATTATTTTAAAACCATGCTATTTTAATAATCTAGGAAAGGATCGATTTAAAAAAAAAAATCCAATTCTTTCTGAATCTATGAAGTAAATATCACTCAACATTAAAGTTTCTTAATGACAATTCAGAAAAATTTTGTTCTAAAGAAACACTTATCTGCTAGGAGTTGTATCAAATTTTGTTTAATAGTTATTAATGTTTTCCAACCATTTCATTTCTTGCAGTATGTCTCACAGCATGTTCAGTTTTATTTTATTTCACAATAACATTATAATAATCCTTTTTATGGAAGCTGTATAGTGCAATAAAGATTTAATCTCTAGGTTTTTTAATAATGTTAAATGATTCATTATCTGTGCACCAGTGATATAATGCACAATGTTCTTTCAATATGAAAAGCAGTTACCTAATTTTAACACAAGTACATGACTTACAGTTTCAGAAGCAAGTAGAGGATTTTGTTAGCTCAAATTTTAGACCCCTGTCCAGAAACAAAATTGGTATCGACATCTGCATCTACATTTCAAAAATGATCTGTGAATATCCACATGCTTAGCTGTGTATATCCGTGGTTATCAAGCAAATATCTGCAAATCTGTATGGTTCTAGATTTAAGATTTGTATCCACATCTGCATCCATATACACAAAAATGAGCTGCGGATATCTGCATCCACGGATGTGGATACCTGTAGATATGAAGCGGATATTTGTAGATTTGCAGAGCTCTACAAATTTTGGACCCAACCTGAAAAGTCTTTTAGGAAACTTGATATTCAGATCATGGATGCTAAACACTTTCTGAAAAATCAGTCCCCTTTGTCTGTGTCCAGACTCAGGGGGTTTTTCGGGAAAAGTAGCCTTTTTCCGAAAAAACTTCACCTGCGTCTAGACTGCAGCCGCGTTCTTTCGAAATTAAATCGAAAGAACGCGGCTTTTCTTTCGACGGCGGTAAACCTCATTTCACGAGGAAGAACGCCTTCTTTCGAAAGTGCTTCTTTTGAAAGAAGGCGTTCTTGAATGTAAATAGGGCTTCTTTGAAAGAGAGCATCCAGACTCACTGGGTGCTTTCTTTCGAAAAAGCGGCTTGCTCTTTCGAAAGTTCCGCGTGCAGTCTAGACGCTCTCTTTTGAAAGAGGCTTGCAGTCTAGACATAGCCTCTGAGATGTCTTAATTGAGCACCAAAATGTCAAAAATTACTAGTTACTTTAAGAAAAATAGGTTTATAACTGCACTGTGAACAAAATACAATGATAAAAGAATCTTTGAACAACATAAAACTAAAAGAGAAGTTGTCTTATATTTCAGACACTGTGAGGATCTTTTTTCTTAGGCTGACTTCCCCAGAATGGGAAAATGACAGTGTGTCTGCCTGAGTGCTCAAAAGTGATTACAGCATTCAATGAATGTAGCTGCTTGTTAGGGTGACTGTGAGGTAGACACTAATATAAGAATTCTGGAAGTTACTGTTCTTCTGTGAAATGTTTTCATTAGATCTCTTGAAACAAAGTTCTGCCTTCTGAGCTACCTGAGTTTCAATAAAACGTGAAATTGTAGCTATACCTTCCAAAGGTGAAGTACTATAGAATGTAACCTTCATTTGTTCAGTTGGACCAAGCTTTGATATCTGCTCTTTTTCATAGTTTTGTATGAGATGCTATAGCCATAACCCTGAAGAGAAACTGATAATTTATTGTTCTTACTCTATTATTCTCTGTCTCCACTAAAGCTTTATGAAAAAATCTCCACCAATGATTAAATTAGTAACAGATCCTTTTAATCTGCTAAAACCACACTGTTTATATCCTATATTCCTATTATAAAATAAGGTAGATTTTTAAAAAAAATAACATGTGGCATTTTAAAAAGAACACTAAATACTCATACCATGAATGAGCAACATCCAAGCTGCCTGTGGTGTTTTCCCATTTGGGCCATAACCGTCATCTTGTAAATAGCTCTATGAATGGTCTTGTGATTCCTAATATTTAGGGCACTTGTAAGAGGCATGGGTTCCCATTACACTTGCAAAATGAGGCCACTGTAGTATTTGATGAGTTTTAGCTTCGTCAGGTTTGTCACCCGTAGTTGGAGTTGTGAGCTTATTACCAGCAGGCAGGGCCTGGATCACTGAGCCAACACATGTCTGATTTTGAACGGGATGTCGCAGGCCAGTAATACATGTCTGACTCCTAGATTGTCGCCTTAAGGAAGGAAGCCATTCACGTGCGGAACTTTACCTCTCTCATGTCAAAGAGGGGCTCAGACACCTCAATGACACTATTTCTCCCCGAATCCTCACACCCAGCACATCGGAGAAGGCAATAGGGACTGGACAGGTCAGATGAGGAGTGGGCTAGAGCAGGGTTGTCTCAGGACACACACATCATCCCCTTCCCAGCCCTATGAAGCTTAGCTTGAATAAGTAATGAAGCTTGGGGCAAGGCTGTTATTTCCACAGTGCCCATTCTATTATAGGGTTCCAGGGACTGCCAGGGCTAGGAGGCTTCCTTTGTTGAGAGATGGGGAGGCTGCCCGTGGCCATCACTGGATTCCAGGGGCTCCATCAGGGTCACAGGTAGGTTCCAAACAATTTTCATGAGAGGAAAACAAAGTCCCCATGACTAGATGAGAGGCTGAGCCTTCATGAACTATCAACTCAAGCATATCTATAATTGCATGTTCCGTAACAGTTTGCTATGCCTAGGAAAGTGCCATGTACACTAGTTCCGACTTGCAAATGTTCATCATGTGTTTTGTGTGGGTTAAAGTGTGCATGCACTTTCACAAACTTGGGGTAAACAGTGGCAGCAATTGACCCAGGCTTAAAGGACCATAAACTGTAACAAAGAGCCCTGTTGCATCAAGGCACTCATACTTTTCTTGTGGTGTTTGAACTATTTGACTTGTTGAGTAATCAAATTTCTGGCCTACTAGCAAAAATAACTAATCCTACTTTGCACAAATAGTGCCCTTTATTTATTGATTTCAAGATTCTTTAGGAAACTGGATAATTATTGTTACTCTTCTTTCCCTCGAGGAGAAACTAAGGTTCAGAGATTTAGGGCAATATCCTTAGCTGCACAGTGCAAATGGATATATGTCTAGTGATGTTAATGGATGTATGTTGATTCCAGTGAACATACGGCTCCAAGAACTTGTCTACAAAAGAACATCCAGGATAGTTAATCTGAATTAACTAAAGACATGAAATTTAAGTAGATTAGTTATATCAGATTGAATCTCTATGTGAGCAGTTATTCAGTAAAGTCTTGATTTAATTCACTTTTCAATTTACCTTGATTATCTTCACCAATTGGTCCACCAGCCCTCGTATAGATTGCTCTGACCACAACATGTCTTCCATTCCTCTCGTTTCCTGGCCTTTATTCTTGTGTGGCCATGTCTATTCGCAATAAAATCTTCCCATATCTATGGAGGTCAGCTGAGTGATCATTTTAGTTCCGGTGATTACCACTCAGTGACAGCTGCAGTCCATTGATTGTCAGTGGGCGTAACTATATGCCTGACCTGTTGTATTTTACTATACCTGCTCTCAACACTGA